GAACAGTAAAAGTTCATAGTATTACTTGAAAGAAACTGGCAACATTGATAACATTTAACTGTCAACATAACTTTACAGTACAGATTCCTTAAACGCTCCTTGAATTGTGGGACAGAAGTATGGGACAAATTATAAAATATATTGTGTTCTTTCAGACAGTAACAAAGTAAACTCCATTCCGTTATGAAATCAATAGTAATATTATCCATATATCTAGAGCGCTAATAACCAATCACTACTGACAGTGAACCCATATCAAATAAACTCTCGAGGGACTTATTTCCATAATGAATCGTTTAAATCTATCTTAAAACAAATGTAAACTAATAAACAAAATACTAGAATTTAAAATCCACACATTAGAAATATATTTGGAAATTAAAGAAAATGTTCAGTGTCAACAGGAAAAGTTCCTGGTAAGTAGTATTAATTGAAAAAACTGCTAACATTTAACTGTTAACATAACTTTGCAGTATAGATCCATTAAACGCTCCTCGAATAGTTCGGTAGACAGTTTATTGTGGAAATACGTTGGGGATGACATATTATAAAATATATTGTGTTGCTTCCAACAGCATCGAAGTCAACTCCATTCTGTTATAAAATCGATAGTAATATTATCTATACATATAGAGCGTTCCTAATCAATCACTACTACAGTAGAGAACCCATACTAAATAAACTCTTGTGGGACGAAGTTCCTTCACGAATCGTTTAAAGCTATCAAAAAAATATATATATATATGTAAACAAAACAAAATACTAGATTTTTAAATCCGCTCATTAGAAATATATTTTTAGAAATTAAAGAAAATATTCAGTACGAACACGAACATTTTTTAATGTTATTAGAAACAAAGGGTACCATATAAATAGGTGCAGGATGTATTAACAATATATCTCTATCGTTATATCACCCGTTATAATTAAACCATTGACTTTACTGATTCCTAATCAACTCGAGAATTTTTTTAGTTAAATCATAGTATTAGATTATTATTGTGTTTTCCTCATAAAATCATAAATATCATACTTTTGCGACGTACCTCGTGCCTCGTGTAAAACTACTCAGCAAAATGTTCTTCATAACTATAGATCGATTGAGTAATATTAGATGAGTTTATAAATTGTAATTTATATATATTTTTTTTTAGCTTTCAGCATAAACTATCACAGTTCAACAATAACAAATTAGTAATTTATGTTTTAAAAATAGGTATATAAATATTATAATATTGTACTTTAACATCATCGAAAATTACTAAAAAATGTATTTCAACAATAGAGCCAACACATGTTATATTAGCTAATGCCATCTGGATACTGTTGAAACTAATATTATTATCATTACACCGTATAATGTACATCATAGAAAATATAACATTATCTTTTTGTCGTACAGACTACCAAGTACTAATAAGCACCATAATTAATAATAATTAGACGATTTTTAAATTACTTGGGATTTTTGAGGACGAAATATCCAGTTAAATCTTTTGCATTTAGAAAATATGATAAGATGCATGATGCATGCCTGTTTTGTAATGATTTAGTTATTTAAATATTTGTGTTTTTTTTTTTAAAGTGAAAATGAGAATGAATTACAGTAAGAATAAGTTAAAATTAGTATTATACGGAAAATAGAGGTTGTTAAATAATTAGAGTTTAGGTGTAATTAGAGTAGCTGATGTTTTCCACAACAAAACCATATCCTTGAATTTGTCGAAGAATAAATACGTATGCATTTGAATATTAATATGGTTACATTATTATTTTATAAATTTGTGATATAATAATATATTTTATTGAATAGCAAGATGCATTTAAGCCTATGGTTTAAGTCTGTGATTTCTATTATTTCTTTTAAAACTGATGTTATGTAGAAACGCATAACATAACCGTTGCAATGCGTATATTTACGTTAAATTTTAAATAAAATCCAATTTGAATACTCTTACCAATGATGGCAAATAATACAACTGATGGATTTTGATTGGATCCAGAACAAGTTCGAAGTACAGAATCACGTTATCCACACGCATTTGGCTAAATATATGAAAATTTTCATCAACTAACGACGGCGGCATTCGGATTGCGCATAAATATATATATTATCATTCGTCAGAGACTTAAGCATAAGTAATACACAATAAATATTGTCATATACATATAACTGTATTATTTAGTTGGAATAAACATGGTTAAACAGATAGTAGGTACAACTTACACGGCACATCATCACGGGATATTGCAATCATGCCTCAAAATAATAGACTATCCCATCAGACGATGGTATACGAACCAAACATTGTGTGCCTACGATATATTATAAAGACGGGGCGGATGAGTTATACACATAGGTGTGTTTTATAATATAGACATATATATGTAGTGTGCAAAAATGTACAGTTTTGGATAAATGTAAAAAAAAAACTATTTTGATTTTTAATGGATGAAAAACCCAAAAGGATAACGTCAAAGACTTTGAGTTTCAAATAATTCAAACGAAGCAATCGTAGGTATATACCAGCTAAAATATCAAGTTCAATAAAATAATAACGTACATAGTCGATCGGAACAGTGGACTCTTTGGCGAAATACAATCACAAGATAAAAGCTGAAGCTCTTTAATAATCACAAGTTTCAAATAAAATTGTAAAAATAATCATGCCATGATGTTTCATCTCAAATATTTTAAATTATCGAAGACGTATTATTTTTTTATTTTTATTTTTTTGAAAGTCATAACTTATACCGCGGGTTAGCATCGAAATGAGTTATAGCATGCACTTCCATCGAATTTTAATTTCAATAAATGTATGATGGATTTAAAAAAATACGAATTGCCGAACTGCAAACATTTTTCCAGTTAATGTAAAAGCTTCTTAACTTTATATTTATTTAAAAACTTTAGACCTGAAGTTTATTATTCAGTGAAACCAAGAAAGTTTAAAATGTTTGACATCTGTTGTTTGATTCACACTGGTTTTATTTTATGTTCATATTTATTTCCGCGGTAATTGACATTTACAAGTTTGTCTGTAGGTAATTAGTTAATTCAACTTTTGTCTTTAAAAAACATTAAAATGTATTATTTATTAAATTAATATATTTCATATATTATGTTTGATCTACCAAGCATTGAGTTTTATGATGAATATAGGTAATACATTTGATGGTTTAATTTAATGAACATCTTTAATACCTGACACTTTGTAGGTGGTAAATTATTTTAAGCTCTAAACAATTCTCTGTAATATAGAAACATCTTTTTTGATTTTTTATGATTTAATTTGTTTTAATCATTAAACATTTATATTTTTAGCATCAACAAAGTTCTTTCATGTTTAATTGGTTTTAGTGAACTGTAACTTTGAAGGGATTTTTTTCTGTTTTGGATTTTTCAATTATCTATAAATGGGTTAAAATTCCTTAGTTACAATCTACTCCTGTGAAGTCAAAAACACGGTATGGCTTTTAACGCAATTGCTGGTTGCCGGATCAATATTACCTCCAGACACTTGAAAATCACCATAAAATGAAACATACACGTATACATAGAATTTGCATATTTTATTCATGAAATGACCTGCTGTTCTCATACTATGATGATAATAATAATAGTAATAATAATAGTGGATCAAAGAGAATTAAAATTAAACCAAAGATAAATATTAAACGCCATACAATTTATTAAACTTTCAAAATAATAATAATAATAATAAAATTAATAAAAAACGATTTTTTTTTATCATATTAAAATATAATTTTTTTTTCTGTATTTTACAGAACACAAAATTGTTTTTATTGAAAATTAAAATGTTTTAATTATAAAATGGCTTTAATTCGTTGTATTTTTTAATTAAATATACTTAATCCCTATTTTAGTGGTTTATTTAATCTAAAAAATTAGTCTTTGGGTTTACAGTATTTTTTTATCCTGCCGTCAGTCGATTTGTTTTTCAATTTATAACGCAACCAAAAAGTTCGGCTTGATTGGAAAAAATAACATTCCAAATTAAAGCAAAGAGCTCTAACTGTTGTCGTAATACATTACAAAATAATTAAATATTCACTAAAATACTACAAAAGAACTCGTTAAATATAATTCATGACTATGTACAAGGAAATATCATACTAAATCTGATTATAATCATACCCTATGATGTTATGCAAAAATGTTAAAATTTGGAAAACATTAAAAACGATAAAAAAATAGTGCATGGTTATTATTGGATTTCGCAGAGGAAATTAAAACGGAACATAATATAATTTCAAAATGATAAATACTGTTTATTTATTTGTCGGCAACTACTGTAAAACACGGTTAGATAAGATTTCATTAACGCCATTAAAATGAAACACAGATGGTTGAGGTCTTATGGAATTTTGGACTTTCAAAGATTTCGTAAAATTTGAATAACCTAGCCATAATAATATGATATTGTTCCGAGCAGAGTATTAAAAAAATAAAAGTGTGTATAATCGTATTAAAATAAACAAGGGACATTACGAGTGTTTGTAATACGGGAGGAAAAAAAAACAATAAAAAAAGTCACTGCGTTAGACCGCAAAATTAAATTTTATCTTATTTGCGATAAGAATAATAATATTCGAACATTTTTTCACTCTTTTCTGTGGTTGGTTTTTAATTAAAAAATTTAAATCAAATTTTTTTTCATTTTCAGGAAGGGAATATATTAATATGCGAGTAATATGGTAAATTCCAAAGCTACCTATATTATAATATTAAATAATAGTAATATTCGGTCGTAAATATTTCTCTCGGACTTAAAAATTATCAGATGAGAAAACGAATCGATTAGATTTCGTTCGACCAAATTTTATCTACGTAGGTCTTATCATTACACGACGATACCAATGATGATGGGGGGGGGGGGGTTATTATCAACAGAACGTACACAGAATATACACATAATGGTATAAAACAATGCTCGCGATACTGCGATGGTGGTATAGGGTTATGAAGTTGCACTTACCAACGACTTGGAGATGAATGTACTGGCTGATGTGTGGCGTAGTGGATATCTGGCATTCGTAGATACCTGAGTCTCTGATCTGCGGATACTTGATCTGGAGGGTCCAGTCTTCGCTGGGTGGTTGATTGATCGATCGGAAACGCTGGTCGCCGGTATATGTATACCGGCCGACGGTCAACAGGTGAATGTCCCGGTGTCTGACCCAGGAGACCTGCAAAACGAAACAAAAATCAGTGGTCTCACATTTTATTATCATGAATATTTTGATCAATATTGTATACGATGTGAGTAAGTCCATCTGACTTTATTTTTTTTTTAATGAGGAAACCAAAGATTTGGGTGAAAACTTCACCTGAACAGGCGCACAAGACGTGTCAGTGTCGTAAACCGTCAATCGGTGAGCCTCGTTTTGTCCAAATTTTATGATGACCGATGACTTTTTGTTTCGGCTAAGAAAGTAAAATATTATTTTAATTTCGGACTAAAAACTGTTTCCGCCAGATTTTTGTCTTGATATATTAATAATCGTGACTCGATCAGAATGTATGATAGCTAGCGAAACTTTAGGTATTAGGTTTTTTTTTACAATTTAAATAAATATAACTGTTTTATATTTTTGATATAAAATGCTACAGTGGGGTTTAATAACTCCAGTGTAATGGTTTAACGGGTATGCATTTTAAAATAATACCATCGGATAAAAATTATGTATACGAGTGTGTTATTTCGTTGAAGTGGGATTTGTGTATAGCTGATAAATGGAGGTGTCAACTTTCTGTTTGTTTATCAACAAATATAATAAAAAATGCATGTGAATTCGTGTGAATATAATTTATTTACAATTTAATAGTAATTTTTTATAAGTGAATTCCATCAATATAAAAATATCATATTTTTCAAATGTCTAGTTAACTAAATGCAATTCGACAAAGCATAAATATACATAAAAAGCAATACGTAAATGTTTTTTTTTTATAAATACATACTAATAACATAAAAAACCAAACAACTTACACCGTAGGTGGTTTTACTTTAGAAAGACAGGAATAAACAGTTCCCATACGTGTCGATTGTTTGCCGACCAAAGTTTCATCCCCATAGGAGTTTATTTGTAACATTTATTATGAACTATGATATATTATTATATTACAATAACTACGATTTCCGACAAAACGATATTATTTTCGGAGAATAATTGTAAATAAGCCCTCTGCAGGTTAGCTCAAAACAATGACAGAAACAACTGTATAATATTATCTATGTGCTCATTGTTTTGTTTTTAATAATTTCATAATGAAAAACACATTTAAAAATAATTGATTAAAAAAGTGCATCTGAAAATCTGAATACTCTTGTAAAAAATAAATTTGAATTGGCAATGTACATCTAGAGCATTACCTAACTAGGGTAACGAACGTTTTATGACTTAACTTACGTACTAATGGTACGACGCTGTTGGATTTGATATTCTATAAGTTAGTAAATATTCATATTTCGTATGGGACTTGTGAATAAAACTCAACATACCGACTACGCTATGAAGAAAACGTTTGATGGATGCACAAATGATTAAAATCTTCGAGTCAAAACTAAATATCAAATGTCGACGTAAAAATAACAAAAAAATACTGTCTTAGATCTTCAACAAGCAAATGAAATCGGTCCATTCCGGTCCACAATCATTATTTGTAGTGCAGATTTTCGGCGAGTTGCAAAAGTCAAATAGAGATTTATAAAAACAGCGCGAATAAGTGCAGTGTTGAAATCTAAACCCTAATAATTGTTTTTACAATACTATTATACTCTCTTGACAGTGTATAATATAAGTTGCACGTGTGAACGAACTCGCGTGCCCCGCCCGGACGGGATTCGAATACGAATATTTTGACAGGTGCCGCCGCCACTCCAGCCGTTTCAGTGAAATCAACCAAACGCAGTCCGTTTAATAAGCAATTATATGGCGCGTGTAACACGTATGCGTCATAACCAGGTAATAATAATAATACAAATAACAATACTAATAGGAATACCTATCGAATAATATTGTGTATCATTAAAAAATATGTTAAAAAATATACCGGTATGGTGAACTATGCCATACATTTAGCGAGTCTTATAATCAATATAAAGCGCTTGCTAGTATTTCCGCTGCAGGACCGATGAGTAATCCGCCCGATGGATACTATTTTATAATAATATTTTTACGCGCTAATGAAAGCCCTTTGGAAATTAGCTGCTGTGTCCGAACCGAATTACACGAACTGCAATGACACATTATTATTGTTGTTAATATTATTTATTATCCCCTCGGTAAACGGTTTGTGTGTAATGACGCGAAAATCTCGAAAACAAAAATTGTACACCGTAGGTATTATAACATACCGGTTAACTTATTCCGATCGTCGTTAGCAAAGTTTTCGACGAAGCTTTCGACGACGACGACGACACAAGTCGACCGACGTCCGACACGTCGTCGTACGTGTTTGTCGGTGTACCGAAGTTGCGGCTCACTCGAGTTAATTATGAAATCATACACGTAAACGGTTTCGTCGATTTAAACCACTGTAATTAAACTTTTCCCTTAAGTCATATTGCTCGCAAGCTCAGCAACTTCGAAGTGGCTAATATTATTTTACAGCGGGTTATTAATTGGCGAAAGCGTCCAAGGTTTTACGAAATTGCCGAAAAAATGGGGCACCCCACGCCAATCAAAGTCGAGGGTCGTGAACGGTTATTTCCACGAAAAAGTTATGGTATCGCGTCATATTCAAGGATTTAATCCGTAAAGACCGAGAGTATGAGTTCACGGAGAGTTGGCGAACGAATGTCATATTGGATAATGTGAAAAATTAAACACCTACCCGAATTGACAATATAGGAGTCACATTATTTACTGGCCAGGACACACGTTTGCATTGATGCGTAATCAGAAATCCATTATATATGCAATAATGACACCAAGTGGAATATATAGATACATAGTTTTTCTCGTTATGTATATTAAACAAATAGGTATAAGAGTGGCAACTTTTATCCTTATATATTATTTAATATGCTTTTCCGAGTAGCGTTTTTTTCTTATTTTTAAGTTTTATATTTATAACAACATACCTATATAAACACAAAATTAAAGAGTAAAGTTATTTAAAATTATTGTTTCACATTAAATTTCTAAATAATTTCAAAATAAATTAACACTGTAGGGACTGTTGGCGTAGAAGCTGCGTGCCATTGCATATCGTTGACTACGCAGTTAATTATAATCTGGCCATCTGGGGAAAAGTCACTAACTATACTAAACTAAACTGCTGCTCTAAATGATCATCAGAAAGTGTTGCTTGCCAGCTCGGAGTTCGGCTTTTAAAACTTTCATTTAAGAAAATGTCATTTCACAAAAACAGGTTAATCCGAAGGATGTATGTAACTCAATAGCTGCTGTAGTGTCTACTAAATATACGATGGTGAGTTCTGACTAAGGGTAATGGACTTTGAAAACGTCCGAAATAGATCTTTTGGCCACTCCTGCAGTATAATTTTATAATATATAACATTATTATAGACTATAATTTATAGTGTTATAACGAAAAAGCAACGGGGAAGGCGGTTTGAGTTAATTATTTGGTTTTAGTTGGCTTTACGAAATACATTTTGAACTCGAAACCTTCTGACGAGGTTTTACGAAACTGCCGAAAAAATGTGGCATCCCGAGAACCGGATGCAATCAAAGTTAAGGACCGTGCATAGTTATTTCGATGCGAACGCTATGGTATTGAATCCTTCGCGGGTTTACCCAGTAAAGACCATAAGCGGTGTGTGTGTCGATGTTCCAGAGAGTTCACGGCGATTTAGCGAACGAATGTTGTGGAAAAAAATCGAATCCGAAAGGATAAGAGAGACGCATTATTTTACTGCTCGGTACACAGTCACATTGACGCGAAGTCCCCACAGCAAAGTGACCAAGAGTAGAAAAGGTACGTTGTTTCTAGTTGTATAATAAAATTGGTTGGTAAGCTTGTGTATGAGGAGAGGGGGGGGGGGTAGGGGAGAAGAGTCCGACGCGTAAGTGCCTTGTCGGGTCATGAAAAATGTTAACTTTTATGTTGATACATATTATGAAAATTCAAACTCATCGACTTATCGGTTACAATAATTTAGCATTTAAAGCAAATAAGTTACCCATCACCGATTTAAAATCTGTTCAGTTTTCAATTTGTATTTTTATAAATCGTTGTAATTTTAGCTTAAAGGTTTTCTCAGACCGACATTGTTGAAAATGATTTCTAATTTTTCAAATAAACGTTATTTCATGTCACGAATTAATTTTTTGTATTGTGCTCATTTTGCGATAAAAATTAGTTTACGTAGCAAAGACCATAAACGGTGAGTGTGTTGACGTTCGAGAAAGTTCATGGCGATTCGGTCGAACGAATGTCGCGGGAAAAAAATCCAACCCGAATGGAAGAGAGAGACACATTATTTATAGGTACTGATCGGCACACAGTTGCATTGACGCGTTAGCAGAAGTCTATACAACAATGAGACCAAGTAGAAAAGGTACATTGTTTTTCTCTTTGTAATACAAAATAGTGAGGTACCTTATATTATTATACTTTGCTGCGCGACGGCGTGCGCAGGTATACATACATATACCTATATAATATTGTTATAACGAGAAGGCGGCAGGGAATGTGGTGGTTTGAGTTAATTACTTATTTTTAGTTGGGTTTTACGCAATAAATTTTAAAATCCACCTACTTCATTTTGCATTATATATTATATACAGCTTACCTACACAATGCAATATATGCATACAAAACGCTACATTATTTCGAAACGTAAAAACTTTGAAATTTTTATTAAATTTCCAAGAAACGTAAAATATATTATGCTATACCCACACATTTACACACTCGAATAATGTGCACGAGACAGATAAATACGAGATTAGACACATAGCGGGTACATATAATATTACAGCCGTGACACAGTGGCTATAAACTATTTCTGCGATGTTTGGTACGATATTATAACAGTTGTAGGTACCGATCCTGTAAAAGCGCAAACACTAAATAACGATGGTTAAAAGTTTACTCGACATTGCGTTAGAGGCGAGCCCAAGATTTAAGGGAGAGGGGGGGGCAATCGTTACCTGATTTGACCAGCTTTGGGTGCTCCAATGTATTGTGCCAATTTATATCGTTTTATTGGTTT